AGAGAAAGAGTCGGCGCAGCGCGTGGCGAGCGGCGTCGACGTGGAGGCGCGTGAGGACTCCAACGGCACAGCGCACCAGGGGACGGGCGACGAAGACGGTTTCGGCGCGCAGCTTGACTAAAAATTGAACGCGCGTTTAATTCTTTGAACGCGCGTTCAAATTTTTTGAACGGGGGCTCTAGGGAGGGGCCTGTGCGAGGTCCGCGGCGCGTTTGCGGCCCAGGTGCGGGGTTTTGAGGCCGTTGGGGGGGGGGGGGGGGGGGGGGGGGGGGGGGGGGGCGACACGAGAGAGGCAGTTAGGGGTGGGCCCGACAAGGCCTGATGCGGTGCGGGGAGGGATGCCGGCGGGAGTTGGAGCTTCGTGGGAAAGGCTAGTGGCGGACCACTTCGGTGAACCCGTCGGCGAGCGGGCACGATGCCGCGAAGTCAATCTCGGGTGTCTGAGGATGGGGGGGAGGACGAGAATCGGAAGGCGCAGAAGAATTGTTGCGTGTACAAGTACGTCCGCGTGGGACAGAGTCTCGGCGAGAGATTCTGCGGCAATCGCATGTTGAAGTGCGTTTTCTGCGGCCACGAGTTCCAAGGCAACCAGTTTATTGCGGCGCGCCATTTCCGCCAGGGCAAGGGATGTCCGGAAGTGACAGACAAGGCACTTGTCGACATCCAGTATAACAGTGAGTACAAGATGTCGGACAAGTTCCTAGAGCGGGTACAACGATTTAAGGAGCTTCACGGTGCGGCCCCTACGGTGGATCCGCGACAGGACGAGGGGGGGGCGGGAGAGATGAGGGACGTGGGGGAGCAGATCGACGTAGACGACGACGTCGAGGAGGTTGCACGGGCGGGGTCGACAGGGAGGGAGTGAGGAAAGGGCATTGTCAGCGAGCCAGGGGGGCAGCAGGGCCAGTACTTTGCGTCGGCGCACGTGTCCGTTCGTACACGGGCAGGTGCGAATACGGCTGAGGCGGGTGCGTCTACGCGGAAGAGGAAGGAGAGAGAGGAGGGGGACAGACCGACAGCAGCAGCCGCAGCACAAAAGAGGATGAGATAGAACACGATCACGGAGTCATTCACTTCAAAGTGGCAGATGGAGTTCAAGAAGAAGTGGCTGCGGTTTGTGTACAGTCAGCGCCTGGCGTTCAACGTCTTCCGGAGCGAGCCATGGTTGGACGTCATCCGGCACTTCAGGGACTTGCCGGGGCGAGTGAAGGTGTTGTGGCCTTCAGAGAATGAGATCGCAGACATAGAGACCATTGTCCACATGGCGGACGATGTGGGAGCTGATCTCGCGGAGGTCAGGGCTCCTTTCTATGTCACGGGGTCCACCATTATGTCAGACGGAAGGAAGTCACGTGATGCCAGACCCATCGTTAACTTCCTTGCCGGCGGGTCGCGCGGGGTGATGCTCGTCCGGACGATGAACAGGGAGGGTAAGCGGGATCGGACGCCTGATGTGTTGGCGCGCTGGATCAAGGTGTTCGATGACTTCTCCCCTAAGTGGGTGAACGACATCTGCACCGACTCCGCCTCGGCGTACGTCGCCGCGGCGAACATGCTCCAGGGGCCCCAGCAGAGGCCGGAGCATCGACGGATCACGTGGCTCCAATGCGCAGTGCATGTCTGCAATAAGATGTTGTCAGACATTGGCTGTTCGGGCCCGTGGTCCAAGGACATCATCGTGAGGGGGAGAGCGGTGGTGCGCTTCATTAAGGAGCACGGCGCCGCTCTCCATATCTTCGGGGGGGAGAGCAGTCAGATGGGCCTCATCTATCCTTGCGAGACAGGTTTCGCATCCGTGTTCACGATGGTGGAGCGTTTGCTGGCAGTGAGGTCAGCTTTGGAGAGGACGGTGGATGGCGATACTTGGGGTATGGTCCCTTGGGACTATTCCGTTTGTCAGTTGGCTAGGTGGGTCAGGTGGCAGGTGTGACATGGCAGTTGGTGGGATTCCATGGGTATCTTGTTCCGTATCATGGAGCCTGCATACGACCTGCTGCGCAGGTTGGACCGCAGAGGGCTTCACATGTCGCGGGTGGTTGAGTGGACACAGGATCTAGCCCGCCAGGTAGCAAAGGAGGTTTGTGCACTTCCGGCAGATCTTGCACACTACATTGTGCAGAGGGTGCAGGCTCAATGCACTCACATGCTGGAGCCGGCGCACGCCGCTGCTCACCTTCTCTGTCCCAGCCGGCGGGACTTGCGGTACTTCGAGGGCGTGGTCAGCGACTACGACACGAGCTTGGTGAGGGAGGCGGAGACTTACATCTTGTCGCAGACAGGGTTCAGTGTGGCGAGCCACGATTACGAGACCGCATGTGCACAATTTCGCGACTTCCACACACGGAGGGGGACGATTGCTTGGGGGGGAAGAGATGGAGATAGAGATGCACAGAGGTGCAGGGGCGATGCAGAGACGTACGAGTCCGGGTGTTGGTGGTCGAGGTACGGGCAGTGCGCCCCGCAGTTGCAGGTTATCGCTCTTCGTGTGATGTACATGTGGACGTGTTCCTCTCCTCTAGAGAGGAATTGGGCCGTCCACGAGGATGTACAGACGAAGAAGCGTAACCGGCTTGAGTTCGAGGAGGTCGCGAAGTTGGTTGAGATCTCAGCCAACGTCTGCCTTCTCTCTCATCAGCGGGCAGGTCGCGGGTTCGCGTTGCCGTGGACTCTAGGGAGGTATCGGGATTCGCCCCTCGTGGAAGGGGACAGACGAGAGCAGGACGCGGGAGGAGGTCGAGGATCAGAGACGTTCATGGCAGCGAGACCCATGTGGGTCCAGAGCTCCTCCGGGTGATGTGGGCGATGTTTTCAGGACTCAAGCCGCCACATTGCACCCGTACCCTCGAGACGACAGTGATTCCGAGGGTCACGAGGACGAGGACAAGCCGGCGGGCCCCGCTAGCGCCACTCCTGCGGCGGATGAGCGTGATGAGTGGAGCGACCCAGAGGACGTCCGTAGACGGAGTGGCGGAGATGACCTTTTCGTTCGAGTTGATTTGGAGGAGGAGTCTGGGGGTCCTCATGGGAGCCCTTTAGAGCGTCCGAGGCCTACGTCCACTGCCCCGCTTCCCGCTGAGCGGGAGACAGATCCTAGGTCTGCACCTTCGAGGGGGGCAGAGTCGGGGATTGGCCATCGTCCTCTGGGTCGCTCTGGCACGGCATCATCCACCGCTCTTCCCACTTCGACGGAGCAGCTTCATTGACAGTCGGCCGGTGCAGATCGATTGCAGAGATTGGTGAGGGGCCCGAGACAGCGATTGGAGGACAGATTGGAGGGCGGTCCTATGTCGGTGCAGGGTGACGACGGAGACAGACAGGGGTTGGTTGGTGGAGATGGTGGTGCGCTGGCCGGAGGTGGAGGCAGTGCCGAGGTTGATGCGGCGGTTGAGGGGATACCGATGGGCGGCGGAGGTGGCTTCAGTGAGTTTGGCGATATGGGTATGCCCCCGGGAGAGAGCGTGGGTCTGGCACGAGGAGAGAGCGAGTCCCGTGGGGACATCAGTGTGGGTATGCAGGACTTACTGGGACAGATCAGCTTGGCGGACCCGAGTAGTTTCTCCCCTGCCATGCACGCAGAGGTGATGTTGGGGGCAGAGGGGGATGAGGACCGGACACCCCCTGGAGAGACATCTGCGGAGAGGCTGGATAGGCTTGATAGTCGTCGAGTGTGCCTCATGGCACAGAGGGACCCCAGGACGCATGAGCTCACCCGTCTTGCGGTCGAGGACCGGCAGAGGCAGCTGGGGACATATACGTCGGCGTCTGTTGACGTGGGGCCAGCTGCCCACACGGATACTCCAGCAGAGGTTCACGACACGACGCAGTGGGAGGCGGCTTCGGCAGAGGTTTCGAGTAAGGGAGTAGATGTTCAGCAGGGGACGCACGAGAGCGGGTTGGCACCTACAGAGGAGCTATGTTCGGAGGTGGCGCAGCCTCCTGCCGTGCAGCTGAGGCCAGAGGAGATATTGCAGGAGGTCGCGGGCGTGCCTCTGCCCGCGGGTTCAGTTGAGGGTGCCGTGCATATGTCCCCGGGTCTGGAGGACATACACACGGGGCAGTCAGTGGGCATTGATGATATTCGCCCATCGGCACAGGCGGGGGGGATAGCGCCGACCACCGGGGGGGACGAGGCCGTAGTAGGGGCCGTTGGTGTTGGCGGGTCGGGGGTGCCGTCCGCGGCCGATCCGATGTCCACGTCTGGCGGTGGAGACCCCGCACTGGTGGACAAGCGTGACGCGGACGGACAGGAGATGCCGCAGACTTTGGTGGTTCGCACTGCTGTGGGGCCAGTGGTGCCACATCAGGCACCGTTTTTGGAGGGTTATAGGCGTCCTGCACATGGCGGTGGCCCGGTCGAGGAGCGACGTGTGGGCAGGGGCGCGTGCATACCCCCGGTCCCTACTTTTGCGCCGTCACGGACGAGGCCGGAGATTAGGCACGTGGCTACGCCTCGAGGCAGCCTCCCTTTTGGTTTTATGACCGCTGAGGAGTTGGAGGACCACGGCAGGAGGGATTTGACGGAGATCGACCAGCACGTTTTGAGGTCAGTCCCGGAGGAGGGGAAGTTGCCTCACGTGAAGGACTTATCTCGGGGGCCAGCCAGCCCCAGCTTACCTTTTGGGTGTTCCATTGCAGCGCCATCTGGCGGGGCTGCAGGGGGCTTACCTTCTGGAGGTTCCGTCGCAGCGGCAACGGGCGGGGCCGCAGGGGACTTACCTTCTGGAGGTTCGGTCGCAGCGCCATCTGGAGGCGCCGCAGGCCCTTCGTCACCCTTGAGCGCAGCTCCGAGGGAGGGCGGCAGCCTCACCCCGAAGTCGGTTGCCCGTAGACGGAGAGACACTACCCAGAGTGCGCGGGAGTTGCTAGACACCATGTTGCTCGGTCGCACAAATCGACCATGGAGTGAGACGAGACGGGTGACGACGGCGAGTGTCGGTCGTCAGCCAGGTTTGAGAGGGGTTTCCACGAGCGCGAGACGTCGAGATGTTGTAGCTGCAGGGTTTAGCGATAGAGGGGGTGGCGGCGGTGGCAGTGGTGGCGACGGTGGCGGCAGACGTGAGGGTGCAGACAGTGCCACGACGAGCGCAGTGGATCCGCCGCGGACGTACGGTTTGAGAGAGGCGTCGATTATTTTGGAGGAGCCTGGTGTTGTTACACAACTGAGGCAGGCCCGACACGTGCCCTTAGATCGACGCCAAGAGAGGGAGACTTCAGGGACTGACGGTCTACCTATGGCACGCGAGTCACGCCGACGTGAGGACCTAGCAGCAGCAACCATCAGGACGGTGAGAGGCAGGAGAGTCATTATGGACGACGATCCCGACGAGCTTCCCGTCGCTCCCGAGCCTTCCGCTGCCGGATGCGGCGGCCAGCGTCAGAGAGATCGAGGAGGTGGCAGGGGTCGGTCCCACGGAGGAGTTTCTCATCGGTCCGAGCGAGATCCACGTGCGCACGACGATCGCTGACGGATTACGGACTTGCATTTTCGTGACTTCCTCAGTGTACTTTAGCTTTTTGTTATCCATGACAGACGTGGTGTCTCGTGAGGTTATATTATACTCTACTTTCCAGTGGGTACTTTTCTGCGGAGACGCAGTGTTTCGTGATGTTGTATTATAGTGTACTTTCCAGTAGGCACTTTTCTCCAGTTTGCCACTTCGGAGATTATAGGCTTGTAACTTTCCAGTGTATTTTAGTGTGTTTTTTCGTCGGCATTTTTGGGTTGGTACTTCTTTCCACAGACAGACGGGGCTTCTACACGATGTGTCAGATATTTGTTATTATCCATGCTATATTGGTTTGCGTTTTGCTTTGATCATTACATCTTGGCATTTGCGATGTTTCTGTTTTCAGACAACGAGTGTTTTGTGTGCTTCCACGCCCCTCAAAACCCAAACCCTCCTGTAGCCCCCCTGGCCCCCCACCCCCACCCCTGCGCCCAAACCCCCCAAACCAGCTTTTTTTATTTTTTTGCTTGCAACCGTTTTTAAAAAAATTCTCTAACCGTTTGTTTTGCGCTATTAAAAAAAATAAAAAGAAAAAACAAATTTTGGAAAAAAAAATAAAAGAAAGGTCGCAGTTTCTGTGTGTGTGTGCGAATGTGATTATGTGTGTGTGTATTTGTTTGTGTAAATGGGTGGTGCAGTTTGGGGGGTTGTGCGTGTTGGCGAAAAAAAAAGTGTCCGTGTGTGTTTGACGGTGTGAATTTGTGTGTGCATGTGCGTGTGTGTATGTGTGTGTGTGTCAGTGTGTGTGTATGTAAATGGGTGGCGTGGTTTGGGGGGTTGTAATTGTGGGCGGGAAAAAAAAAAAAAAAACGTCCCCGGGGGGG